CATTTGCAACAACATGAGTGGAAGTTAAGGATGTTATACTAAGCAAACTTAGAGGACAGAAATACCATATGATTTTGTTTATATGTGGAATTGAAAGAATGAAAGAACAAACAAAACAAAACTGATAGATACAGAGAATAGATTGGTGGTTTCCAGAGGAGAGAGGGGTTTGGGAATGGGCTATTTGGGTGAAGGGGATCAGAAAGCACAAACTTCCAGTTATGAAATAAATAAGTCATGGGGATTAAATGTAAAGTATAGTGACTATAGTCAATAATGTATTATAAATTTGAAAGTTGCTAAGGAAGTAATACTTAAAAGTTCTCATCACAAGGAAAACGATTTGTAACTTTATGTGTTGATAGATAGTAACTAAAGTTATTGTGGTGATCATTTTGCAAGGTATGCAAGTGTTGAATCATTACTTTGTATACCTGAAACTAATATAATGTTGTATGCCCCTTATACTTCAAGAAAAAAATAGCAGTCCATATTACTATTCTATATCATTCTTTTTTCAGTAACCTAGTTTTACAAGGAAAACTGGTATCCCTTCAGTTAATGCATATCTTGCTTGAAGTTGTATCAGTCTTACAGATCCTCAGATACACTTCTGCTCCAAAACTGTTTTGGCCTGTGAGGCAAATGGGATGGGGTTTATCTTAATTAACAAGATGTCCTTTAACAATCTTTCTAATCACTAGTTTCCATTTAAACTGTCCCAGGCCTGATACTAATAGCCAGTAAGGAATTATCCTTCTTATCATGACTTTGATCTGAAAATTGGAATAAAATAGTTTTATTGCACTTGTGACTACTTTCTAGCATATAATAAACAATGGAAATAAAAAGAACAATGCCTAATATTTAGTTTCTGTAAATCCTTCTGATATTTACCTTAAGATAAAATCAAGTTTGTTCTTTTCATAATGGTCTAATGATTTCCAGTTTTAAAATATATGTCTGAATTTTTTATGAGGAGCTTCAAAACCTAGTTTTTTTCCATTTTAAAAGAAAGTTGATTTTATTAACGTTCTTGAATACAAAATCTTGAAAATTAGGATATTAAGAGGCTTTAAATTTGTCATCAGATTAAAAATATATTAATCAGATTAGTGATAAAAAGTTTTAAATTCAGTTTGTAAACACGAAGGCATTTTCACTACATCCTTTTTTCTAGTAGATCTTTGATTTTTGCCCTTCCTGTCATCCATTTCTTCCTTTACATTTTCCTAAAATTCAAATAGTATTTTTTTAACATTTATGACAAATGGAACTTGTATCTGACTTTTATTTTAGTTAAGATAATTTACTCCAGTAATTCTCAAATTTATATTTAAAGAGGGGAGCTTTTGGGCACCTGGGTGGCTCAGTGGTTAAGTGTCTGCCTTCGGCTCAGGTCATGATCTCAGGGTCCTGGGATCGAGCCCCGCATTGGGCTCTCTGCTCAGTGGGGAGCCCGCTTCTCCCTCTCCCACTCCCCTTGTTTGTGTTCCTTCTCTAGCTGTGGCTCTTTCTGTCAAATAAATTAAAAAAAAAATCTTTAAAGAGGGGAGCTTTTTTTGGTCAGTCATTATAAATAATACAAATCTATAATTTTACATGTATACATATATATTCTCAGAATTTTCCAAATATTCTGGAAATGTATGCAATAAAAATATTAACAATGGTTATCTTTATGTATATATATATTTTATGAGTATATATATTATACATGCATCATATTTTATATATTTATACATATGTATGTATATGTATATAAGATACATGTAATTTATGTATTCTTGTGTATTTTCTCATTTTTTATGAGCAAAATAATTGTAATAACAGAAGCAATATAGGTATTTAAAGTAATACTTAAAATAATACTCTGCTGGACTTTGGTATTAGCATGTTTACTTACAGAGATTTTGGTTTTGTTTACTCTTTTCTTTGAAGTGGTGATTATAGGTTGAACCTCTCTTTGTGTTTCTTCCTTTCCACTCCCTTCTCAATGTATATTGTTTTGGGCTTAAGGGTGGGGAGAACTATCAACTGTGATAGTATAACCAACAAAACTCTGGTCAAAAGGGGTCAAAAGACACTATTAGGGTCTTCCTTTAATTTTATTCATATTTGCAAGAACCACTTTCATCAGGATGCGTATATAGGAGAAATGCAAGCCACAATTCTAGGGCTGATGTATGCTACTACATCCCAGTGCAGAAAGTTCCTTCTCCACTTAAACCCTTGTTTTCTGTCCATCACTAAGAGTTGATAGGCTATCTTAAATGACCTAAGACTTTACAGGTGCACTATATGTCTCTGAATATTTTCTACCTCTTTCTTCTCCTCTCTTTTAAGATTTAATTCTGTGCCTCTGGAATCATAGTAAAATTCCAAGCTTGTTAATCTACATTTTCTTATGCGGTAGTGTATCCACTCATATGGATGGATCTCATGTTGGGTGGAGGAATATCAGTCCTAAGCAATCATAAACATATATCCTCCATTCTCTCCAGAGGGGATTCTCGCAAAACCTATTTTTTAAATACAAATCAACTTTAATTCCTTAACATCAATGAATATGACCTTTAAATAATAATAAAATTTAATCTATATAGTTCATGACTAAATCTTTTCATTTAATATTGTGTTATAATCCTTCGGATCTGTCTATGTTGTCATTTTCTATGCAACCCAAGAGGAATGAGTATAAAGATGACAATATTAATCATGACATCACTGACGTAAGTTCTTTGTAATGGGAAGCAGAATCAGAGGCCAAATAGGTAAAATTGGGAAACACAATGGGGGGAGGGGGTGTTAAGTCTTTACAGGTAATTCGTATGACTCTTTTTCTAGTCAAAATATGGTGACTAACATAATAAAATTAAATTAAAAAAAATAAAATCCAAATTTCAAAATAAAACATTTAAAAAAGTAATATTTACAATTTCTTACTTAAGTGATGATACACATTTTTGTAATGTTATTAAATTCAAACTACTTACCTAGATGAAAATGGTTTTTCTGTATTGTCTTCATTAAGATAAAAATTTGCTATGATTATTATAAAGACAATAAACAATTACTCAGGTAGCAAATATCCCCTCTATGGATGAGACTGCCTCATAGATTTTGCGGCAGTGGTTCAGCTTTTTCATTGTTGCCTTGCCTTCAACACGAAGAGAAATTTCTATGGTCTTTATCCTCTTTGATATTAGGTATGCTTCTCTATGATCTATATAGGGCTTGACTTTCAAGAAAAAATTTACAGTAGTGCAGCTCTGAACATTTAAAATAATGGTCTTCTTTAGGGTCTATTTAAGTGCATCCTTTCTTACAACAATTACCAAGAGGCTCTATGCCTCCCTTTGTATCCTATTGATTGGCTAAAAAAAGTAAAACAGTTATATGATAGTCTCTACTATCATATAACATTTTCTCTACTATCATATAACCTTTTGATAGAAAGATACTCTTTGCTTTTTGGGGTATGATCTATGGAAAATTTCTTCTTGTCTATACAATTTACACATAATTTTACAGACATACTTTGATGTCTTAAGATAAATTTATAGTATCAATGTTTGGCTGTAACAAATACAATATAAGACAGTAGAAGTGTTACCATAAATTTTTATTTAAGCAAAATAAATGGTGATAGTAGAATAACCTTTTAATGTTTTAATTATAAACTTCGAGCTCTGAATATTATATAAGGAAAGGGAGATAGCATATTCTTATAAACATGTCAGCAAAATAATTGAAATGTCACTTGATCTATCTTAAAGTATTTTCCATTGTATGTTGGTGTTCATTTTTTGCTTATGGTAAATTATATTTACCAATTGCCACCCTGTTCTTTTTTAACCCTAATTTTTAAAGAGCTATGCTATTCTCTAGCTTATTTTTCAATAACATCAATATTTTTTCTCATGTTGATATATACTCTTCTACACTATGAAATAAATGCTTTTGAATAATTAAAATTTTTTTAATTGTCTACTTTACAAAATCACAGGAAAGATACATATGTATCTTTATATTTATATTATCACTTTTGTGTTTGGGTTTTTAGGAAAAAAATATTGATATGTTTTAGAATGAACAAAGCTGAAATTCAATTTGAAATAGTAATTTTAATTTATGTAAATCCAATTTATTTTATTATTTAAATTATATTATGTTGATAATTTAATGTTATATAGATCAGATGTTTTTTATTTACATTGCTTTTTAATCCATTGATAGTTGTAAAGGTATTATCCAGTTCACCTTCAAGTATATCTTGGCCTTAGGGTGGCTTTACAAATTTGAGAAAATAATAATGACAATAATAATATGATTTGTTATGTAATATTATGTGTCAAACCTTATGATAAGCACTTTATATACAATTAATTACCATGTGTCAAGTATAGAACAATGACTCCCAATTTTGCCATTTTAAAGTTGAAAAACTTGAGGCTCAGAGTTCTATAATCTATCTGAGGTCACTTACAAAGTGGCAGAGTAGAGTTTTAAACCAGGCCAGTATGGCTTCAAAAGTCCTTGCTTTAACCACGGCTTTATTTAGTAGAGTGCCAGGCCTGGCTCAAGTCACAGCCCCCAGAAAGTCAAAAGCTAAATATTCAGGGATTTTGTGAGCTTGTTGTTAAGACACTAGCAATTTGAAATTAGCCATGGCAGGAATATTTATACCATAAAAATCAGCAAATGCTACAAATTGGGCCTTGCCCCACACTTTCATGTCCTCCGCCTGACAGTTTACTAGCATACCATTGCCTTTACAGCCAAAGTCTTGTCAACATTTACCTATATATTAGGTTACAAATATAAATAATAGATGCAAATTTTTTATCATTTGCTGAGTACTACATATAAACTGCCAGCCATTAAAAAATTTGCCATTAATAGTTCCTGAATTAAATGTCATCTTTTATTGTGATATCTAAAATAATATTTTATAGAGAAGAATGTGTAAAATGATGAATTATCTTTTTTATTTTCAGTGATAGTGGAAAGTGGAAAGATAATTTCTTTTGTGGCTTATATTAATTCTGGATATTGTGACATTTATAGAAATATTGTAGGACTTACGAAACTACAATCAAAAAAAGTGGTGAGTTTTAAACTTATGTATTCTCTTTAATCATAATTGAATCTAGCCTAATTATTGAACATTTATTTGTCTCCTTTTGTGAAATTTCTGTTCAATTTTTTTGACTATTTTTTGTTATTTCTTTTCTTTTTACTGAGTTGTAAGATACAGGAATGTAGAATACATTGTATTTTGAATTGTGAGACATAGGAATGACCAATAAGCACATTAGAGTTGCTTAATATCTTTATTCCTCAGAGAAATGTAAATTAAAACCACAACAAGGTACCACTTTAAGAATACCAGATTGGTTAAAATGCACTTTACATTTGACCCAGAAATTCCACTTTATTTACTCAAGAGAAATAAAAATATACATTACAAAAAGACTCACATGAATCTCCATAAGCCAAAAACTATAAGTAATCCAAACGTCCATTGACAGTTAGATGGATGGAAGCATTGTGATATATTCTTACAATGGAATGCCATACTTCAATAAAGAGAAATGATGCATACAAGAATATGGATGAATCTCAAAGCATTAGGCTGGGCAAAAACATCAAACCCAGTCTATTTGATTCCAGTTTTATGAGGTTCTAGAACAGGTAAAACACTAATTCAGTGATAGAAAGTTAGAACTAATCCTTTTTTTGATTGGTCATGCAGTCTTCAATGGCATTTAATATAATATGTAAACTTAGTTGAATTCTGCTACACAAATTATATTTAGTGTGAAGATCTGCCATTTATATAAGTCGCAATCCTTCAAGTTAGATACTGGCTTTTGACCCCAGGATATTTAGTAAAGTCTTCCACCTCTTCCAAGTTCATGTCATCAACCTACTTGGAGAGCTACACTTTTTTTTTTTTTTTAATCATACTGCTCATCAACTCATCCCCGTTTTGATGGTGTTGAGATCTCCGTGAAAAGATAATTTGGAATTTTGACTTTTTCTCCACAATCATGCACACCGAAAACCTGATAAGCCCTTTTCCACTGTTTCTAATTTGGACCTAAATTGCTAGTTCCCTGAGTCAAACTCACTTTCCATGTTTCTGTATTATTTAAGCAAGAAGGTCTTGATGGAATTCCAACTGTGGCCATTAATTCCATCAGTTCTGATTCTAGCCCTCTGTGCTTATTTTCTCATTCTCTGTTAGTGCAACAAATGTGCCTTGCAACTGGGCCTGAGGTAATAAATGATAGCTCAGAAAACATACAAAGTTAAGCTATATTTACAAAATGCTATCCTTGGACCTTGAAAAATGGAATGAGCTCAATGTTTCCTAAACATTGGTGGATTAAAAATTTAATTTGTAGATCACTAAATGACAGTACTTTTAATTACCTTAGAAATGTTGAAATTGTCTATCAATTTACTATTGTTCTAATATAATTTAAATACATGTGTACATAACTGTTTTCTCTGACTTGAATAAAATTGCAATTTATTTTAAATACCATACACCAAAATGATTTCTGAACAATGAATTTCTTATAATAATAGTATGTATCCATTGAATGAAAGTAGTTTCACTGAACATCAATTATCTGTATCTCTTACAGAAAAAAATTCAAAAACTTGTTTATATGGGTAGACTTAAGGAGAAGGAGTCCTTTGGTGAAATTAGTGTTCTTCTTCAAGTTCCTTTCACATGCACAATAGTTACTGGAAAAGAGGTTGAGATGGCAATCATTGAAGATAAGGACCTATTTGGTAAATACATACATGTCTTTTATACCGTTTTATTTGATGAGTTTTTGACAAGTGTGGATATATTTCATAGAAAGAGAAGGACACTCAAGTAAGTATAGGTGTATATATATGTTATTTACAGAAACAATGTATCTATAAGATAGTCCCCTTTAACACTTCATATTCTGTCTGATTTAATTGTGCTATTTTTAGAATGTATCAACAATATTTCAAAACACTTTTATTTGAAATTAATAAAATCTCTAATTCCCACGTTACCATTAATAGCATCATTCCTTCCTTTTATGGAGTATCTCTTGGTTTTTCATATATACAATTATTGCTTCTATGTTTCTGGTTCAGGTCAAGAGTGTGCTATCTTCCAATGTACAATCTAGATCAAGTGTATATGAAGAATCGTGGCTTGTAGCATTTAAGCCTTTACTTGAAATTCTAGCATTCTAGTAGTATTAAAAGAATAGTCATGCAGCCACCCGTGTTTGGTCCTCCAAACATTATACTCAAATAGGAAATGCAATTGAGTATGAAGGATAAATGAATAGGGTTTAATAAATGATGACATAACAGGACATTAAAGAAAATATAGTTTTTTGTATAATAAAACTAAGAATATCAAACATTAGATAAAGGATAAAGAGGAAAAACTCATAGAAATGAACATGGGTGAGAAATTTGCTTTAAATAAACTAAATTACAAACATTCCCAGGGTGCCTGGGTGGCTCAGTTGGTTAAGCGTCTGCCTTTGGCTCAGGTCATGATCCCAGGGTCCTGGGGTTGAGCCCCTTGTCAGGCTCCCTGCTCAGCAGGGGAGTCTGCTTATCCCTCTCCCTCCTCCCCTGCTTGTGTGCTCTCTCTCTCTCTCTCACTCATTCTCTCAAACAAATAAACAAAAGCTTAAAAAAAAGAAGCATTCCCACGATTATGCATGTATGATTGACTGAATCCCCTTATCCTGAATTGCAAGGGTTTTTTTTTTATGTTTTTTAAAGAATATGTACTCTACCTGCTTAACTGTGATTTTGCTTAACTTCAAGCTCATACATCCATTTTTTAAAAGTGATAAATTTGAAATAGCATTGATTAATTTTCTTTGTTTCTGTGACATTCAAATACAAACCCCCTAAAGGTAAATATCACTTAAAAATAAATACCAACTACCAATTAAAATTACAATATTCTCACTTGATATAGGCTAGGTTTTTCTTTTCCTGTACTAATTACGTTAACTGGTGCAAGGCAAATACACTGTGGACTTTTTTATGTAAATCAACATTTCACACATGAAAGTACTTCTTTCAAGCATGTATTAGAATCTTCTTTGCTGTCTGGCAACCTAAAATTAAAATAGATGGCTTAGTGTAAGATTTAGTTGTGTTTTATATGTGTGCTATCCATACTTAAAATTTCTTTCTATGTTTTGCTCATTTGAGACTGATGTTTTAAAGCTACTGACACATTGTGTGCCTAATTAAACATTTCCTAAACAGAAATGTTCTTAAGGATTTATTTTGCTTGTTTTGCCACAACTTTTAAGAAAATAAAATATTTTACAGTTGACCCTTGAAAAACATGGGTTTTAACTGTGTGGGTCCACTTATACAGGATTTTTTCAATAAATACATTACAGTACTGAAAATGTGTTTTCTCTTCCTTATGATTTTCTTAATAACATTTTCTTTCCTGTAGCTTACTTTATTGTAAGAATACAGTATATAATATATATAACATACAAAATATATGTTAATTGACTTCTGGCTATTAGTAGTTTAGTTTTGGGAAGTCAGAAGTTATACATGGATTTTTGACTGCTTAGGGATTGGTGCCCCCTCCCCCTGCTGTACAAGGGTCAACTGTATTTGATTTCAGAGTCCTTTTTTTTTTAAGACTTTACTTATTTATTTGAGAGAGAGAGAATGAGTGCGCTCAAGTGGGGGGGAGGGGCAGAGGGAGAGAGAGAGAGAGAGAATCAGACTCCCTGCTGAGTGCGGAGCCCAACACGGGCTCAATCTCAGGACCCTGAGATAGTGACCTGAGCCGAATTCAAGAGTCCATCACTCAACCGAGTGAGCCACCCAGGTGCCCCTAATTTCAGAGTCTTTTTTATTTCTACATTCTAATTATTTTATATTTTATTCCAAAAAAGTAAATATATATATTGAAAGCTAAATAATTTTAATGAGAAATGTAATGGTTAATTTTGCTGAATCATCTTCACACATGAGCAATGTTCTTTATTTTTGCATTTTCATATTACTTCATTTTGTTTCCATCTATTCCACTCTTTATTATCTGAAATATGAATCCATCTCTATAAAATGGCATAGGGAAGGACTTAAGAGAAAATAAAATGTGCCTTAAAAAATATCAAGTTGATGACAAATTGGAAGCATTAAAGTGGAATAATTAACTTGAGCAAAACCCAGGATGTGTCATCTTGCAATCAGGATAATACTGTTATTAGCTGGTGTATTAAATTGGTGTTAGGAATAATTGTTTATATGTGAGGTGGTCCATTAAGAAATAACAAAAACTAATAAAACCAATGTGCTTCAACAGAATTCTTAGCCACATGTGGATTACATTGCCTACACTTTCTAATTTATCAAAAATTGTTAAATATGCTATTTCTTTTTAGAATTGTAAAATGTATTACTGGAGAACTAAATTAAAATTCATGTCTTTTCTTAAGTATACAAGTCACACTCTATTTGTTCCCATATAAATCATGTTAAAAGGCCAGTATCACTTAAACAATCCAGTTTATCAACAATATTTAGTAAATACATAAAGGGAACAATGAATTCACTATACCTATCTATACTTTGGGATAGGTAGAACAGAATTAGGAAACATAAGAGATTGCATAAATGTTAAATACTTTATCTGGAGAATTATATATACAACTGTCTATATACAATCATAAAGGAAGCTGTGCAATAATTAGTTTTGAAGTATTTAAAAATACTTGAAGAGTGATTTTTTGTTCATTTAGGTTGTTAGCTTTTGGAAAGTTGCAAATAACTTTTGCAATCTATATACATGCTTTTCAGACATTACCTTGAACATCTAAATAAAAATGAGAGTAGTAGAATTATTATTAAATTTAAGCAAATATAAATATATTTTTTATATAATGCCATTGGGAATATAGTTTATCAGACTATTATTTTTAATAATAAGGTAATGTTTTTTTGTCCAGATTCAGAACTTATACCTCAAGTCATTTAGATTAAAATTATGAATACCAACTATTTTAATTTTACTGGTATCTGAAATTCTCATCCTACCATTAAAACAAGTGTACTACTTTTGTAATGATAAAGGATTACTTTTCATATTAAAAAATGAATTACCACTCTTTTTAATTATATCTCAATTCAACCACCCATGATTGAAAAAATAAGGGATAGCTATTGATTTAAATTGTCTTTCTTTGTGAAAGGAAAATTTCAATTCCAAGGTGACATTGCTACAAACTATCTGAAAGTTTGTTTGTATTTAAACAGAAAGAATATCCAAAGACTTTTATCTCTGATAATGATTCTCTTAATCAAAACCCTAGGAAACTAGATTTTTTACTATAGATAGGTCTTTTAGACATTTTAGAAGCAATGAATACATTCTTTTCCAGAAGATCTGCTTCCCAGTACATCAGTATTTCTCCTTCTTGCTGAGACAGGTTATAACCAGGGGTCTCCTTGGTAACAGTGTTAATCAGAAGAGCCTAAACTTTTGAACAATTTGCCAGAGTAAATATGCTTCCCTTTCCTTTGTTTTTTGGTTTTGCTTTATGATAAAATTTTGTTATAATAATACATTTCCAAGTAAAAAATAAGGTATGACACTTAAAAGTATTTTTTCTCTTATGAATCTTTTTTTGCTCCTTACTAATAATGTTAAAAGAAAAAATGCTAATTAATTTGAGTAAAATTTTTCTTTTAATTTGGGTTTTTATGAACATAGTTTTGAGTGAAAAAATTATATTTCATATGTTTCTCAGTATATTATTTTATTCCATTAGGTATTTTGTAAATATATTCAAGAACTGTTTTGTTGATAAAACCAGCCAAATATTTTGAACATCTTGCAGACATTTAAAGTAGTTCTTAGGGATGCATGGGTGGCTCAGTCCGTTAAGCATTTGCCTTCGGTTCAGATCATGTTCCCAGGGTCCTGGGATCAAGTTCCTCATTGGGTTCCTTGCTCAGCAGGGAACCTGCTTCTCTCTCTGCCTGCCACTCCCCTTGCTTGTTCTCTCTCTCTTTCTCTGACAAATAAATAAAATATTTTACAAAATAAAATAAAAGTAGTTCTTACTTGAGGAAATTATCTTATGAAATATCACAAAAGTTCATGAAACAATAATGTATCTTATTTTGATTGATGGAGTTCCAATTTCCTCAGTCCTCAAAGCCATCTATTGGAATTTAGAGGAGTCTAATAGGTAGCATTCCTTTTACTTGCCTGAATTCTAAAGCAAATGAGAACAGGACAAAAGAATAGAGTAGAAGGGAGATCAAAATAGCACCTTTATTGTTGATAGAAACTGGAGAATGTGGTTTATATCTGCAGACTAGAGTCCTAATCCTGAATCCCAAAATTCACCTGGATTACCTACAGAGTCATTGGCAGTGCTAGCCTACCAAATGTCTCTTCACACAGGAGATAGGGTAGGGCTTCCCAGTAAAAATTACAGAGAAGCAGCAAGAAACATCCTTCTTGGTAGACAAGTTGGATCCCAAGGGGAGGTGGAAAGGAAATGTTAGAACTCAGTATCTCAATCTTTGTTCCAGGCTAGGAATGATTGACATGGCAGAAAGAGGCTGTGAATGTTAAATTTTTCACTCTCCTGCTCCTGAAGAAATCAGCAATAATGTATTTTCTCTAATACTCTGTAGGAATCTCCACATCCACTGGGCCATTGTGTTGGCCACTAGAACCCACCATTTCATTGCATTCTACTGTAGACATGTACACTCCTGGAGTTTAGCAAAGTTGTAGTACTACCAAATCCTATCAAGTCTCCCTCCTAAATACCCCTTAAATTTCTTTCTTCATCTTTATATCCAATGCCATATCTTAGTTCATAATTTAATCATCTTTTACTTAGATTTCCAGGAGCCACTTAATTAGTCTCCCTGTCTCTGGCTTTATCACTTCTAATCCATTATTCATACAGTCCCTAAACTTACTACAGTGCAAATCTGTTAGTTTCCCCCCTACTTCAAGCCTTTTATTGACTCCCCTCATCTATAGCAGGGCTTCTTACTGTCTTCATCAGGGAACACATAAAAATTATAATATTTTAAAGAAATTCAGGGTAAATAGAGTAAGATGCTTTCCTTTCGATCTAAGTTATGATCTATCAGACTCTCAGCATCTCAATCCCTTTTAGCTGCACCAGGACTGAGGAGATCGGTATCTCTGTACACCTTAACCCTTTTGTTAAACACTGATTGAAAAGCTCTGAGTTCTATAGAAAAGTTGAAATTTCTTAAGAGGGCTTAAGATCCATTGCAATTTGGGATTTGCCAAACTACTTACCTCTTCATTCTCATTGCTTAACTGCCCAGGAATATCAAACTAAGTATAATTTCCAAAAATATTGTTTTATGCTTCTAAGCCCTTTGTCTATTCTATTGCATTTCTCTGGAATGGGTTTTCTCTCCTTAACCAGTTGGAAAACCATTATTTTTTTCAGCTGGAAAACCATTATTTATACTTCTAAATGCCAAATATTAGAATTTACCTGTTCCCAGGAAAGGTTTCCTTATAAACCTTCCTCTTTCTACTCATACTACAGTATTTTATGTCTACACATCTTTTCTTAATAAACTTTGAACTCAAAAGACAACCTTCATAATAAATGCTCAGTAAGTGACAGGACATTACAGAGTCCTCCTTTGTAAAGTTGTATGACTTTAGATCATGTTGATCCTTTGACACATTGGCAGTCATTTAAAATACATAATGAATGCTTTACTGAATATCATTCTTTCATTGTTTTTACATATTCCTTTTTAGAACTGGAATTACACAATTTCCAGTTCAATCACTGTTTATGTCTTATCCTGCTAATTGGATTATAAATTTCTTTAGGTCAAGGAATATGCCATTGTTAATTTTTATATCCCATAGCACCTAGATTCTTTCTGAATAGTCAATACTTTTTAATATTTTTTTCACAAGCCCATTAATTTCCAAATACCTTCATAAAATCTGGTTTAGTTTTCTGGTTAAGGGTTACTATTGACAGTGTCCTCAAGATGGATTTTTTTGGAAGATCGTGTTATGGAAAAAAGAACCTATAATTTAATAAACATTGATGACACTGAAAATCAAAGAACAACAGTTCTTTGTTGCATGATACTTTTTTTGTCCACAAATAAATGGTCTACTTCATTCTCAATACTCTTATGTACCAATAATCTATCCCATTATTAAAATTCCCAAACTTTTATTCAGAAAACTTTTTTTAAAGTTTTTATTTTACTTATTTTCATTATTTATTTTTTTAAAAGATTTTATTTATTTACTTGACAGAGAGACAGTGAGAGAGGGAACACAAGCAGGGGGAGTGGGAGAGGGAGAAGCAGGCTTCCCGCCGAGCAGGGAGCCCAACGCGGGGCTCGATCCCAGGACCCTGAGATCATGACCTGAGCCGAAGGCAGACACTTAACGACTGAGCCACCCAGGTGCCCCGAAGCTTTTATTTAATTCCAGTTAGTTAACATACAGTGTAATATTGGTTTCAGGTGTACAATATAGTGATTCAACACTTCCACACAACACCTGCTGTTTACTACAGCCAGTGCACTCTTTAATCTCCATCATTTATTTCACCTATCTCCCCTCACCTCCATTCTAGTAACCCATCAGTTTGTTCTCTATAGTTGAGTCTATTTTTTGGTTTCTCTTTCTCTCTTTTTTCCCTTTGCTTGTTTGTTTTGTTTCTTAAATTCCACATATGAGTGAACATACAGCAAAATTCTTAATGATTTAAGTTCAATCAATTCACATATGGTACTTTTTTTAGATTTCCAGAGCAAGTTTTCTTTGTGAGTGAGATGGTATGCTTCCCTTTTATAAACAGTGTAATCTATGATATTTTTCTTAAATTCCCAGAAAGAACAATGTCAGCTTTGCCTTTAATTGTGGTAACTTCCCTTATCTAGACAAACTCACATTAGTATTTCTTCCTTTCTCTCCATATTTTCCATTTCTGCTACTTTAATCAGTTTTTAGTTATGATTATATATTTATCTTATGTCAGATTCTTTTTTAGTAGATATGCTATAAATTTTAAAAATAAATAACTATTAAGGTATGTGATATAGAAGTAGATGGATTTAATCTTTTAATAATAAAGAAAAGAAGAGTTTACTTATTCTTTTAATTAATGGGTTTAAATATTGGCCAGTATTTTTTTCTCAAAAAAAAGCAAGTGTTATTGGAAATTAGACTTTTCTAAAGATGATGATTCTACTGACCCAGAATTATGGAAGTATCAGCTCAGTAGATTTAGGTGACGCCACCAGCCACATAGGTGATACTGAAATAGATAGTTGACCCTAACTACATGTAACAAAATTTGAAATGCAGTCAGGTAGAATTTTGGTTTTAAGGAATCATCACAAGCAGAGTTAATGATGCATCTCTTACTTTCCTGGACATGAAGCATTTTGATAACAATGATTAGTTCAATTTTAGTCTTTAACCTTCATAGGTTTTGATTCTTCAATTTTGTAAGTATATGAAACCTTATTCATGAATTTATTTTCAGCAAGGAATCTGAATGACAAGTCATGTAAAATTATCGTTAATGTATTATATTTACTTAGAAAATGTTTTGTATACTTCAAATTTGTAATTGCTTGTAAATAAAATTATTATAAATTTTTGGCTAATAGGAAATTACCAGGCCATGCAGAGTGCCTTGCTGGTTTAGCAGACAATACAATATTAATCAGATATGAAGTTCAACCCAAAGATTGATGAAAACCCAGTATTTCTTTTTTTTTTTCCTTTTAAGATTTTATTTATTTGAGAGAAAGGGAGAGGCAGCGTGCCTGCATGGGAGAGAGAGAGGAAGCACCAGTGTGGGGAGCAGCAGAGGGAGAAGGAAAAGCAGGCTCCCCACTGAGCAAGGGAGCCTGATGTGGAGCTCCATCCCAGGACCCCGGGATCATGACCTGAGCCCAACGAAGACACTTAACCAACTGAGCCTC